GTGGCAGCAGCAACAGGAGCCCCAGGAGTCTCTAGTGCCCTACTTGCTTTGGCGACGAGGTTCGCAAACACATTGCGGGCATCGTAAATCGGGGCCTGTCGTAGGTGCAGCTCCTCGATCTCGTCCTTCAAAGCCGGCGGCTTTGGTTTTTGAAGAAGTGCGATGAATTCCAAATTCGCGTCAATCTCCGCAAGGTCCAACATGTCTTCCTTGGCCTTCCCGTCAATCTTCGCGAGTAACTTGACAACTTCGTTTGCTCGTTCATCAAAGCCGCGAGTCATCTCCTCCCTTGCCCTAACAACGGCATCGTCAACTCTAGGATCTTGGTGATCATAAGCGAAGTCCAGCTGACTCTTTAACAAAGCTAGGTTGTCCTTGTCCTTGGCACGCTCAGACTCTGCCTCCGCCAACTTGACACCCAACTCCTTTTCGATCATCTTCGCAGAGAGAGCGTCATTCTCGAGAACTTTGTTCCGCTGGACGAGCCCATCCAGCCTCGACTACAAGGTGATGTTGGCCTCTTTGGCCTCGCTAATCTCGCTCTCTCTGGTGCGAACATCCTTGTCATAATCACCAACCAGTTGGTTCAAATGGAGAAAGAGCTGTACAAAGAAAAGAAAGGAAAGGAGATGTAATGATAAACGAAAGAGGCTAAGTCATAAATAACGTATTATATGGGAAGAGAGTCGAACCTCGGAAGCCTTGGACTTCGTCAACGCGTAGGCTTCCCCGCGAAGCAATCCGCCGGCCGGTGGGAAAGCATCCCCAGGAGCCGAAAGCCTGACAGAAGCTGCTGCATCGTCGCCCACCGGTGCTGCCCTCTTGGCCGCGGCTGGAGGGGACGTACCCACTCTCGATCTCTTCGGAGAAGCTCCATCCGGAACGTTATCTCCCTTGCCGCTAGAAATAAGAGTTCTCTTCCATGACTGATCACGCGTCTCGCGATCTCGTCATGAGTAAAGGGAGAAGAACGAGGAGGCAGGATCGATGTGGCGGGCGTCCTCGGCGCAACCTGCGTCGGAACTCTTGCCTACGATGACGAGGTCATCGGTGCAGCAGTCGTCGGCACTGCAGTCATCGGCGCCGCAGTCCTTGCTTTCACCATCTCCGTTCTCTGGCAAGACAATAATCTTGGCTCACCTCGACCGAAAATTTTTCCCAGGACGACCACGACGGAAAGCGCTCTCTCAATCCTCAGGAGGTTGAACGACCCTCGCCAATGACATTTCCCAAAGGAAAGAGCCGATGCATAGTGGCAGCAGCACTGGCGTCGATCACGGGGAACTGGCTTCAATGCAAAAACCAATATGTGAGGTAACGTGTGTTAAAAAAACCAGATGAAAAGGAGTTGAGTGTTAGTTACCTCTCTTCGCCCATCTCGCCTTAACGAGGGCGACACAGCCCGCCCCGGCGGTCCTCTCTGAAATCTCAGCAAAAAAGAAACGATCCTCAAAGTGCTCGTCTTTGCTGGGAAATCCGTCGATGAGTCTTCGGCCCGTCACGGGGGTGATGCTATACTTGAGCTCCTCCTTCCGACCACGATTCCGGAAGTCCAACAAGTAGGACAGGTGCTCGGTGCTGATCTCGACGCCATGCTCTCGGCTCAGCACATAGACGCCGATGAGATGTCGGAGGCCCCTCGGGTTGACCTGAGCAAGGGCAACATGGTTCACCGCCAGAAAACGAAGGAGGCGTCCGGGCACCGGAAACCGAAGCAAGCACGAGTCAAAGTAGTTCTCATAAAGAGTAAAATACCTGGGAGGCGGAGCATTGGCCCTGTCAATGGAAACGGGGGCGATCAACGCAATCTCCTCCGGGATCTCGCACCTCCCCCGGAGAAGCCGCAGTGACCCCTCATCTGTAAGGGAAGACCCAGGAGGGTTTGGACGAATCGGTGCCCTTCGTTTCTTCTTAGCCGTTATTGGTTGCTCAACTTCGGCAAGGGTAGCTTCGTCATCTCTTTCAGTGCTAGACGCTAGCGAGTTGAACGAAGAGGAAGAGGGCAGCAATTGTGATGCGTTGGCAGTGCCAAGCGGGAGCTGCGGGTCCACGTCATCAACAAATCGAAGTTCATCAAAAGCATCGGTGGCTTCGGGAAAACCGTTCGAGGACATCGGTTCACCACCTTGTCGACCTGACCTCGTCGGGTCATCGGTGCGTCAGCTCGAGGACGTCGGGATTCTGCCTATCGAGTCTTCGGCGACAAAAGCTCGATTCCTCGGGGCGACATTGGTCTTCGGCGTAGGGTTGGTCCGAGAGCTTGAGACATCTAAGCCAGGAAGAGAGGCCCTTGCGTCATCGGGGCCACGGAGATAAGACATCGGATCCTCGGCGTGGTAGTCTTCGGCGGGGCGTTGGACCTCGGTGCCACGGTAGTCCTCGGCGTACTGGTCATCGGAAACATGTCAGACTTCGGTGCCGTGGTCCTCGACACATCCAAGTGACGGCATCGGAACTTCCCTTTGAGCCGTCGGAATCATCGCATTCGAGTTCTCGCCAAAAGTGACAACGCCACAACCGACGCCACCGTCATGGTCATCGGTGCCGGCGTGGTCGTCGGCTCCACGTTTTCCGGTCAAACCATTGAGCTTTGTCTTATCCATAACCTCAAATCTACCTACACACATCAAGTTTG